TTCATTTTCTTTTGACTGCACCTCGAATAAATTTGAATTGCCAATTAATTGGAATAGTTTGAATAGTTTGAGAAATTCCCATTATTTATTCAAGTGTTTGCATTGAATCATTTAAATAGTTTGCCGAAGAAAAATTTTGATTAAAATTTCAAAGTCAATTTTCCCACTGTTTACTTTAAAATGATTCGAAACAGTTTATTGCTAATATTGTTGGTCATCTCAACTGCTGGCATCTCAATTGCTGCGGATAAAGCTGCCATGAATGAATCCTGCTTCTGTAGGTACAAATACCGCCCAGAGTGTGGTGCAAATAATCTTTCTTACGACAACGAATGTTTACGCAAGTATGATAATGTTAAACTCAAATCCCGTGGAAGATGCCCTGGCGATGAAATTTCTACGACTACCATGATGTCATTGAGAGAAAGAAGAAAATTATACTTTCCAAATGGTCGAAAGTCCAAGAATAAAGTCATGATGTAATCAAATGTGGAGTAATAAAGCTCAAGCCACATTTTGCATTTTAACTTCATTAAATCGTATTTTTAATATAAAAAATTATGAAAACTAAAAAAATGAAATGTATCTTCAAAACCATTGAAGATCAATAAATGGAAACTTCAGCCGTATGAAATATCGTTTTTCTAACATCTTTATTTATTCTCCGAAATCGTTTGTCAATGTTTTATGCCGCTGTTTGAATCTAAGCCAGTAGATGAAGCTAAGGCTGATTTACAAAACAAAATGGATTCAACATGCATCTGTACAATTTACTCTGTTATCGGCAAATCGACGAGTCAAACAAAAATCAAATCACATGCAAACACAGAGAACACATGAAATATATTCTATGGGTGAGATTGAGAGTAGTGTATGTTTCATTGACTTTGTTACGAAAGAGAAGAGCAAGTTTCTGTCGACTTAACAATGGTTAAAAGCGAGTATGTTCGTTTTTAGCGGGTGCTCGCGGTTTTTCACGGTTTTCACGGAACTGATAAGAGATAACAACTTGGTGTCTTCGGCAAAGTTGTAGCACTCGATTTCTTCTATAACATTGCTGAAGTCAGTTATCTCTCATCTCTCATCAGTTCCGCGAAAAAAATATTAGAGTATAAGAAAAAAAAAGTTCTATATAAAATTTGCTTTTTTAGTGCGCGATTTGCGCGCAACTGATAAGAGATAAGAGATAACTGTTTTCAGCTTAGTTATAGAAGATCTCGAGTACTACAACTTTGTCCAAGACACCATGTTGTTATCTTTTATCAGTTGCGCGAAAACCATGAAGACCGCGGAGGCCAGACGGTACTACAACATACTCTACTTTAACGCCAACAGAATCATCAGAAAACATACTCGCCTTTTCAAAAATATAAATCGAAGAAAAAACATACTCCACTCTCAATCTCACCCATAGATATAGATCAGTAGTAATTATAAAAGAAGAATCAATGCACGATCATTGAACGAGTTGATGTAGCAATATAAAAAACCGTTTGACGAAATCAAAAAGTTGATGTCAAATACTGTTTAGATTTTTTGATCTTTTTTTTTCAACCCGTGGCAAAGTCGTTTAATTTTTTCTTCTTTTGAGTTAATAGATCAATCATCAATAATTTCCAAGGAATATTCATTCATATTTTATCCAAAAATTGTACCTGGTTATTTCAGAAAATGTTCTAGTACCCATTTCCATTCCATAAACCACAATTGTCGTTTGAAACTTTTTCAACTCATTCTGAATTGAGAATTTATTTAAAAAGATCTTGGTTTTTAAAGAAGAAGTACAATATCCTCTGTTTTCCACAGAGCGTGTTTTGAGCTGACGTCAGCAGCACTAACTAACGTCAGCTGCTGATATTAGCTGCTGACGAGTATGCGTTGCGTTGTTTTAACGCATTTGCAGTACAAAATTCATATTCCTCTCTGGATATCAAGTCAAATATCATATTCTCTTCATTGATATCCAGATTTTTGCACTCCAGATGCGTTGAAACAACGCAACGCATACTCATCAGCAGCTAATATCAGCAGCTGACGTTAGTTAGTGCTGCTGACGTCAGCTCAAAACACGCTCTGGTTTTCCAATTTATTTTTACTTTTCATGTTTACCTACTGAACATTTTGCTTACGTGCCAATTTCAATCGATTGTTTTTAATTTTGGGTCAATTTATTTACGTGCTAACTCGCCTTTTGACTCAACTCACCCTATTTTAATCAAAGATTTATGACTTTGTTTATGTGTCAATGCGATGATTGCCACCTGAAGTTGTATTCTGAATGCACGATTTTTTTTCTTGTATAACCTTTTGGGTATAGTAAAATATACGGTCATGGTCAACTATGAGTTTGTTCCAGAATTGTTTAACCTATATTTAGATTTTGTCAATACAGTATTGGGTCAATTCGAAAGTTTCCGCCGTTTTTTTTGTGTCTAAAAATACATTTATTGCAAAATAAATTGAAAATGTACATTAACCAATGTATTCGCCATCGTTAACTATGACTCCCCGCCATCTTTCTGGCAGCTTGTTGATTCCTCGCTTGAAGAAGTCCTCGTATTTTGAGGTTATGTAGTCATCAACTTATTTTCGCACTTCTTCCTCATTTTGAAAGCGTACTTCAGACAGGGCAATCTGCATCGATCGAAATAGATAGTAGTCGCAAGGAGCAAGGTCTGGGAAGTACGCGGGCTGATCAAGCCGATCCCAACCGAGCTGCTCTACCTCATTTTTAACGATTGTTGCACGATGTGGCTTAGCGTTGTCATCGTGGAACAAAACATTGTGGTGTTTTCGAGCTATTAATGGCCGTTTTTCATCCAATGCATGAGCCGAATCATTCAATTAGCGTCGATAGCGTTCCTTATTAATCGTTTGATCTGGTTTTAGCAGCTCATAATACACGACTCCTTTCATATCCCACCAGATGCACAGCATAACCTTATCGCAATGAATATCTCGTTTTGGCTGGGATGGCGCCGGTTGGCCGAGATCAACATACGCTGCTTTACGCTTGGGGTTCTCATAATAAACCCATTTTTCATCGCCGGTAACAATCCGATACAAAAAACTGTTTCTTTTGTGCTCTGCAAGATGTTTTGTGCATATTGCGATTCGTGCTTGAAGTTGCTCTTCAGACAGTTGATGTGGAACCCATTTTCCCAGCTTCCGAATCTTTCCCATGGCGTGCAAATGTCTGAAAATGGTTGTTTGGCCGACGTTTAACTGCAATGCAAGTTTTTTTTGCGTTTGGGTTGGGTCTTCATCCAATAATGCTTGCAAATCGACATCTTCAATCGTTTCTGGCCGACCTGAACGTTCTTTGTCTTTCAAGTCAAAATCACCACTTTTGAATCGATGAAACCATTCTCTGCAGCTTCGTTCCGATGGAGCTTGCTCGCCATAAGTATCTGACAGCATTCGATGAGCTTCAGCGGCAGTTTTCTTTGAATCAAATAAGAAAAGAAGGGCCCCTCGAAAAAACACCTTATCACGATCCATTTTCAATCGATTCAAAAACAATGACGCAGAACGAAAAATGAATCTTTCTGCTCTGAGTTAGATTGCTAAACGTCACATCTACAAAATGCAATTGGATTCACTTGTCAAGCTACGCTCAGTTACAAGTGGCGACATTTAAATGTCAGCGGCGGAAACTTTCGAATTGACCCAATAGTTCGATCATTAATCGATGATTTTAGAGTCATTTTTGTGGCTTCTCCACTCGCATTCAATTTCCATTGTAGAAGCTCACTTGTCAAAGTTCAAACATCGTTGCAAACATATGGAAGTGGAGGAAATGACGCCAAGCTACACGAGGTTATTTGAATGACTTTGACGTCATTGGTTCTGTCAGTTGTTTCTGCTTTGATTGAATTTGTTCAGATGTTGATAGAATATCAACGATGCATATCTGAGGTGTGCTAATGCAGATGGAATCACGAAAATAATTCGTTAAGTCCATGGGGAATCCCACGGATTCACCGCGCAATCGGAAAATGCATTTAAATAGCCACATGAAACCGTGTCTACGGATCAGTTTTGCGAACAATTCAATACTCGAAAGTCAATCCGAATAGATATCATACAAATAATCGTGAATTTGAAATAAATTCAAAAACTCAATCGAGAAATTGAATAAAAAATGAGCAAAATAGTTTTGATCATTGCAATTGCTGCTGTGGTGGTGCATGTGGCGGATTCAGCATCCAGGGGATGTATTTGTACCCGTGAATATCGTCCTATATGTGCATCCAATGACGTTTCGTACTCCAACAATTGCTTATTTGAATGCGAAAAGAGGAACAACGATCAATTACAGATTCGATTCTATGGCAAATGTAATGAACTGTTCAGCAGGAATATTCAATCAATGAGTGAAGACTCGAAAATCGAAGAAGAGAATTGCATTTGCACACTAGAGCTCTTTCCCGTGTGTGGCAGCGATAGTCAAACCTATTCAAACGAATGCATGCTGAAATGTGAACAACTCAAACGAAACGACCTCACTCTGAAGTACCTTGGTAAATGCGGCAGCCCATTACGAGTCCACAACCAAGAAGTGACAACGTATTCAAATGACGAACAATGCGCCTGTACATTCGAATATCATCCAGTTTGCGATTCAAATGATCAAACTTTCACAAATGAGTGTGAATTCGATTGCAAAAAGAAACGCAACATACAATTGACTATCAAATATCGCGGAGAATGCAAAATGGCTGCTCTAACACAACCATTGCCAACAGATTGCATTTGCAATTTCATGTATCAACCGATTTGTGGAAGTGATGGTCAAACCTATTCAAATGAGTGCATTTTGAACTGTGCCAAGAGAAGAAATACAAACCTGGAAGTGAAACATCAAGGACAATGTCATGGTGGCGATACTTTTGCAGCGAAAAACGTTCAAAAAACTGTTATACTGAAAAGATCATGCATTTGCCCAGCATTGTACAATCCAGTTTGCGGAACCGACAACAAAAATTACTCAAACCAATGCTTCCTTGGCTGCGCACAAAGAATAAAATCCAACTTAACCATGAAACACTCTGGAAAATGCAATGAAATCTAAAAAATAAGGCAGAAATGGGGAAGCAGGTGTTTTGGGTCGTTAAAAATGTTTGAATCAGGGAAATATTTAGATTGTTAGCATATTTATTGCAAGTTTATGCGAATGACGAAAATAAAGCAAAATACTTTGAAATGTTAAACTTAATGTCTTCTTTTCGATCAAAAAGGAGTTAAATTTTTTTGAAATTTTAGATTCACCATCAACATTGGAAGTGATCTTTAATTTCAACTAAAGCTTGAGCCAACTAACTAGTTGGCAACTAATTGGCTCACTCGGTATATTCAATGTGCAACAAGTTTTGCCGTGTGATCGATAACACTGTGTGTTTATTCTCGTCGATTTGCATTCGATATTTGAAAACACGTAAATGCTTCGCGTAACCTATTAAGTGGACAATTTTAATCATGGCCAATGTTGAGTATGCTTCGATTGCCATAAATTTCGATTCTACTATGAGCCTATCCCGTGTGCAAATAAAATGACTAACAGTTACTCAGTTGTATGTAACTGTATGTAGTGATACACAACTAAAGCTGGCTAAGTTGATTGAAATCATGCGTTTTGTATGGAGACAATCACGTTTAGTTATTCTTTCAGTCAGTCGACTAATTTGGGACATTTTGACT